ATGTTAGTTTGGCAAGTTACACTTAGAAACATTTTCACCTATTACATTTAATCTTTACAAGCTAGCTGGTGACTAGATAACCTTTCCATCCTTACACTGATGAGGAAAACTGAGTACCCTTGAGAAGTCACAGCTTGTAAGGACCAGTGATGACTGGAACCCAGGCCTTCTGGATTTAAAAGTAATCGAGCTGACTGGTGAGGATAAGGAAAGACTGAACAAATGGCATCCAGAGCAAGCCTCGTACGGCCCTCTTTAAAGTGTGTTTTAAATGTGTAGTTGGTCACTTCCTCTCACCACATCCCACAGCTTTCGTGTCATCAGCAGCCTGGGACCATCTCCCCGCACGGTGCTGAGTGGTTGAGCTTTCCGAGCGGAGGTGTATGTCTGCACCACCCTCCTCATGACTGGTCCCCCATGTCAAGCATGTGGAGTCCTCGTTTGCATGTTTACATAAAAGTCCCAAGACAAAACGCAATAAGCCACTAATTCAATTACTGTATTTTTTAAAATACGAAAATGAGGAGAAATTAGGTAAGAAAAAATTTGACAGAATCTGTTTCTAGTGTGACGTGGACAGTATGAGTTGCAAGAATTGTCACAAGGGACTATTATTTGGAGAAATTTTAAATAATACCTTTTTCTTCTAAACAGAAGAGTTCAGAAACTGACCCCTGTACTTAGTTTTATTTTATATGTTGTAGTTTGAGTTTATGTATTGTTTTTTCTCCTGTTGCAGATCTTTGTTAACAGTCTGGTTTCTTCCTTTTCATTTGGATTTTAAAAGCTAGTTTGTTCACGTAATCTGTTCTGTTTCTGCTCTATTAGAATAAGTTTAGTACTTTTAAAATTGTTATTTTAAAAGAATTTAAGTGCAAATTTAAAACATTTAGCTTATAATTGATTCAGGGACCTTACTGAATTCAGATAATACCAGAATGAGCCATACTTTTAAAAACATTTAGCTCTTAGACAACAATAAACTGACTTCTATTAAGGTTAATTTTTTTTAAACAGCAAGAGATTGGACTGTGTACTTTTGGAATCAGGTGCACTTTTAACTTAGAAACCTAAGTTAAGAAATAAATACAACTATTAGGAATATAGGTTAATTGCAGCCATTGGCAGAGAAATATCAACACTTTTAGAATTCTAGAGCTGGAAGCATCTTGGTGATCACCTCATTGGATGACCTTCCTTTATAGTGGAAAAATTCTGTGGCCTAGGGATTGCTACTAATTTGTTACATTTGGAAAATTTTCGAATTTAGTTTCAGGGTATCTTTTTAGGAGGTGGAAGAGAAGGTGATCTAGGGGGTATCAGTGATGAGATGGGAAATAGAGTGGTTTGTGATTTTGTTTTTAATTTTATCTCCTTTTGAGTTATGAGAAGTTTTTTTTTTAATCCTAATTTGCTAATAAAGTGCAGAGAAGAACGAACTTGGCTAGTTTCTCTGAAGGTTAGTAACAGAACCAAACTTAAAAGCATACCCGTGAGTATCAAGACAACTTCTATTTATACGATGTCACTCTCTCTAACACCTGTTCAGCGCGCTGAGCCGTGCTGCCCTTACAGCGCCCCTGTGAGGCTGCCTGGGGCGGGGTCCGCTAGCAACCGCTGAGGGCGAGCAAGGGAAATCACAAGGGGAACCGTCTGATAGGGTCCCTAAGGGTAAAAGAAAAGACAAATGTTGGTACCTTAGTTCTTTCAAAACCAAGTAGTTTGTCTTATGGTGGCAGAGCCCTTTTACTAACTGGAAGCACCAGAGTTCATGAAAGTATTAAAAAAGGCGAAACTGTCCCTCAGGATTCAGTGACTTATTGGCTTGCAAAGGATGCTTTAGGCATCGCCAAGCTGGACTCTACAACCTGCCTGAAGATGATGGGAACAGAAACATTCAAAGTAGTACCTCTTAGAAGTAAATATGATGTAAAATATTGATTTGAAAGTTGTAAGGCTACATTTAAAATGCAAAATGCATAAAAAGGAAAATAAGTGTTTCAATGCTTACGTAAAAGTGCCATCCTTTGTTACTGAAGAGGTTCACTGACTTTGTCCCAAAGTAAAGTATCTGTAAGAATGTGTTGTTATTTTAGACGAATAAAAATGTAACACTGTGTTCACGGCTTAAGTAAATGAGCTCACAGTTTCTGTGTTTTATCGTTCAGCCCTCATAGTGACTCTCTGAAACAATACTGTTATTACCTCCATTTTCAAGCACGGAAACTAGAGATTAGAGACGTTAAATAACTTGTCCAGAATCACAGGCCAGTGAGTGATGGAGCCAGGACTGTAACTGAGGGTTCGACTCCAAACCCAAGCAACCACTAAAAATTACTGCTTCCTTTAACTACAACCCAGGTCCACAAAATGTTGCCCATATGTGTTTGATAGCCTTCCTTTATAAAATAGTTCACATAATTTACTTCTTAATTGCTAGCAAATAGATTAATGGTAGACTAACGGTAGACTAAGAGTAACGACTGGTAGTAGGAAAATCAGAGAACTTCAGAACATTAGTTAAAGATTATCTAGTGAAATCTGACCTTGTGACAGACTAGAAAACTGAGGCCTTGAAGCTTCTTGACACTCAAAAGCAGTAGTGCTGTGATTAGAAGTGTGTGACACTGTAGGGTAAACACTAAATAAGATTCAGTGGTTCTAATTAAAACCACAGAACATACCAGGTTTTCACTGCATTTGAATAAAATATTTTTAAACAATTCATTATAAATTTTTATATAAATCTTTACATCCTAAGTGCTTTACATCCTACAAGCCTACATGGCACATAAAATAAGGACCAGTTTTTTTTTAATTAAACAAGTGTAATTAATTATAGTTTTAAGATTGAAATAATGTATAACTTATCACGTGGTAATTTTTAAGTATCTCTAAATGTTCCTCTGCTGGGATCACTTCATACTGTATTAGCAATAATACTAGGTTCTGGTTACCATGTGGCTTTTGAAGATTCCTTTTTTTTTTTTTAATTTTAGCTTTGAAAATCTAGAGAAACTTAAAGGAGATTTAATATTTTAAAAAGAAATAAAGCACCTAAAACATCGAATATACACTGAAAATTATTTACCAAAAAAGTGAAATAAGTAGAAGACATTCCCTTATTTGGGAAGTGTCTTAATAGAAGCCTTTGTTTCCATTAAAACGCACAGAAGATAAGTTACTACAGGTATTTGTAAGATATCGCTTTAAAAGTTCCTATTTGAAAATTCATGTCTTGCTTTTCCTAAGAAAAATTTAGTTATATCCATTTTATATTTTACTTTATAAATTAATTTTGTATTTTGATATCTTTGGTATAATTTAATCTCGCCTTTTTTTGTATAATTAATGCTAACTTCTTAAAAAAAACACTTGCTGATTTCAAAGGGAAATACTGCATAAAAGATGTGAAGCATTTAATTCTTGAATGCCAGAACCACTGTTAAAGTGTCGTAAGCACATCTGTATTACATTACACAGGGAAAAGAATGCGTGCGTCCTGTGGCCTATGGGCACAGGGTGGCTGCTTTAGGGAAAAAACTGAGTATTTTACATTTCAAGTTTCTTTTCAACATAAAAAATATTCTATGAGTCTAAAATGAAGAATTTAATTCCAGGGCTGGGATGTGCAGTCAGGCAAATAGAAATAAAGTTTTGGTTTCACAGTTGTTCTCTCACTTGTCACCCACTTCTTAAGAAGAAATTAGTTTCTATAAGTGGGCTTGGCGTTGCATTTGTTAAGCACTTCTATTTTCTCTTATTGGAAAACTTTTGCACGGGACAAACTTAGAGCAAAATTAGAACACAGAGAAATCACTACACCAAGAGTTCTTAGTAAGTGTGCTGCACGTCTCAGCTGCAAGGTATGGTGCAAATTATTTGTTATTAATTAAGAAATGCTGAAGTTTGAATGATTTACTCTTAAAATTACAGCAGATTCAAATGTATCCCAATGATGACGTCACTCTTGGAACACTGGTATTCCAGTGCACTTTCTTGAGCGGAAGGGGAAATGATGGAGTTCCAGCTATCAGACTGGGAATCCCTTGGGATGTGTGTTTTGCATGTGAATATCATCTGTCTTCAGGGGAGATGGAGGGAAAAAAGGCGGAGAGCCTCTGTACTACACTGGTGAATGTGATCTCAACTTTCTCCTCTTTGTCGTGACATGATAGTCACATGCCAGCACGTTCCCTAGTGAGCGAGCTGAAATTCCACCCCTTTCCTCCTACCCCAGAAAGCAGGCAAGGGAGGATGTTAGGGGAATGCATCTTTAAATAAACTTCAAAAACAATTTTTTTAGAGTAATGATTTGAGAATTTCATACCTTAAGGAACATTAGCATCTAATTTACTGGCTGCGTCACGATACCATGACTGATAATCTCTGTAATTCTTAAATTTTGTGCTTTTACTTCACTCATAAGTTCAAACTTCTTTTTTTTTAACTTTAAAATAAAGGAAAGCCAAATTTAATTATATGGCAACATATATTTCCAGAAAGTATTTATAATTTAGAGTTAAATTTTTATAAAAATACTTGGTAGCCAGTTATTTTACCATCATGTGTCACTAGAAATTAGTTATCATGGGATAGTTGTTTGGTTTTCTTTTAAGACTCAAACTAAATGTATTTGAGGAATTTGAATTTTTAACTAGTCAGTGTTTTATCCAAGAAAAATTCATGACATGTCAAATACAGATATTATGTAAAAGTCAGCCTTTATCTCTTACTTGATGTGAAAATGAATGGCATGTTCTAGAGCTCTCTTAATGTCTAATTATTTGATATGCTTTTGATTTAGCTTAGAACCTCTATAATAATAGCTCTTGTACCTGAACTTCTTAGCTATACTAAACTTAGTATGTTATAAGGAAATAACTACTGAATTAATGTCATCACCATTTAAAAATGTTTTAATGTAAGGGGCTCACTTTTTTTATGAGTAATTTTGAATAAAACTGTGATTTTTGTTTGTTTTGCTTTTTTACTGTAAGATACTATGAACTGGATCCTGACAAAAGTCTCCTTGACAATTTGAAGAACAAAGTGATCATTGAATACCCAACATTACATGTGGTATTAAAAGAATACAGTAATGACATGAAAATTCTTCACCAAGGTAAGTGTAAATTTGTTCCTGTAATGCTTAGAATAACTACTGAGACTGAAGCAATTACATGACTGTCTTTATATATTTTCCCACTGCATTTACACACTGAATTTACTCTGTAACTACAGATAATTGTGTAAGGAACCAAATGAATGAGCTGTTGCTCCTGTCCTGTTAGAGA